TTTTTTTATTTTTGTTTTTTAATTAAAATAATACTAAAAGAGAATTAAGTAAGTATACTTAATCTTTTATTATTTTTATTTTTGTCTTTCAGTTAAAATAATACTGAAAGAGAATTAAGTAAGCATACTTAATCTTTTGATATAGTTTTTAATATTTGATTTATAATTTAGTTTTTAATATCACTTTTTATTTTGTATACATTCTCTCTTTTATTTTTATAAATTTAAAAATAGTACTTATAAGTATTGATATATGAAAATCTTTGGAATAATCTTGATTTTACTTAATATTATAAATAATTTAGTCTTAGTTCTTAAAACTTATTATAAGCTATATCTTGTATAAAATCTATATTCATAATAATAGCTTATAATAATATATTTATTTTTAGTTTCAAGTTTTAAGTTAAAGATATTTTTAATTTTAATATTATAATAAAATTAATTAATATAATATATATTTAATAATTAATATAATTATATTATAAAAAATAGAAAGATTCAAAAAAATAATAAGTTTAAAATATATTTACTAAATTAATTATTAGTTATAATAAAAAATTAGTTTAATATAAAGATTTAAATTATAAAATAATATTTATAATATAATTAAGTAATATTAAAAATATTATTTTTTTTATTATTTTATAATAATATCTTGAAATACAGAGAGTGAAAAGAAATATTAAATATTTTATATATTTTTAAATTAATTTATATTATTAGATCTTATATTTTTTTTGATAATTATTTTATAATAAATTATTTATATATAGTAATAATTTATAATTAAAATAAATATTATTTTTATATAATGTATTTAAATATTATAAAATTATATGTAATTTTTTCTTAAAAAATTATTTTTAAATTTTATTATATAATATATTATAAAAAAGAATTAATAGAAGATTAGAAAGATAAAATTATTATTATAAAAAAATTAAATATATAAAGATTTTTAAGATTATAAATTATTTTATAATTTATATATTAGAAATATATAAGCTTAAAAAATTATTTAAAAAATAATCAGATTATTTATCAATTCATAATAAATTTATATATAATTATCTCAAGATTTTAGTAATTCAAAATAAAAATTAAACTCTTTCTTAAACTATATAAAATATTAAAATTATTATATAAATATTTAAATTATTTTATAAATAAATAAATATTAAAATCTTTTATAAATAAATAAAATTAATTAAAAAAATTTTTCTAATATTTCTTTCATCTCTCTTCTCATAAATAATTTAATTATTTTTTAAATAATTTTTTAAGTTCTTGTACTTTTAATATATAAATTACAAAATAATTTATAATCTTAGAGATCTTAGTATATATATAATCAAGTTTTTTATAATAGTAATTTTATCTTTCTAACTTTTTATTAATTTTTTTTAAATATATTATATAAAAATAATATTTTTTTTGATTATAGATTATTATTATATATAAATAATTTATTATAAAATAATTATTAAAAAAAATATAAACTATAATAATATAAATTAATTTAAAAATATATAAAATATCTAATATTTTTTTTTTATCTTTTTTATATAAAAAATATAATTTAAATATTAATATAAGTTAGTTAAAGATTAAAAAAAGATATTATCTCAAGATATAATATTATAAGAAAAGAGATAAGATAAATTTTTACTTTAAGATAATATTAAATAAATATTAGCAATTTAATATTATATATTTTATTCTTAATTAATATTTAAATATATTATAATAATTAGTAATTTGATATTATATATTTTATTTTTTAATAATATTTGAATATATTATATAAAATTAAATCATAATATTATTTTAGTATTATATATTTTAGCTCTAATTTTTATCAAAAAATTAATTAGAAAGCTATAATATTATATATCAAGTTTAGATATAACTTTCATATTAGATTTATAAATAATAATATATAATTAAATATATCATTAGATATATTTTTTTGCTTATATAATAATATTAAATTTTTATTATTATGATATTAATAATAGTATTATATTTTTATTATTATAATATATATTTTTTATAAATCATAAATATCTAAATATAATAATATAAATATAAAGTTATCATTATATTTTTATAAATTATAAATATTCAAGTATAATAATAGATTTATAAATTAATTATTACTTGAATAATAATATATATATAATCTTATTATTATATCTAAGACTATTATAATCTAATCTAAGTTATTTTTTATTTATATAATAAAAAATAACTAAAGTTCTAAATTAATTTCTAATTTTTTTTTAAAAAAAAGAAAAAGTATTTTTTATTAATTTTTATATGATATAATAATTTTAATATAATTTTTCAATATAATTATATATTTAAGAATCAAAATTGTAATTTAATTAAAATATATTTCAAATTAAAATTTTAATTAAATATAAATAATCTTCTAATATTAATTTATATTTTTAATCTAATTTTAATTATATTTTTATTTCAATTTAAACTGATTATGATTTAAAATAATTATAATTTAAAATATATTTAAATATTTAAGATATAGATAAAAATAATATTTTATATAAAAAAAGAATTAATTTTTGAAAGTTTTCTTAGAATTAAAAATCTATATAATATATATAACTTAGTTCTAATTATTAAGTTTAAATTATTATTATTTATTTAAAAAATATAATAGATTCAAGTTCTTATTATAAAATAATAAAGCTAATTAAGTTAATTAAAGTTATTTTCTAAGATTTTTAATAAATTAATAAATTAATAATAATTTAAAATTAAATAAATTTTATTATTTAAAAAAATATTTAATTATTCTATATATATATTAAAGTTAATTTTTAAATCAGTTTAAAAATATTAATTAAATATCTATATAATAAATTATTAAGAAATTTTTATTCAAGTTATTCAAAATTATCTAAGAGTTAATTCTAGTAATTAAATTTATTAAAATAAAGTATTTTTGTTCTGGATCAAATTTCATTTCAGAATAAAATCACGTGAAAAGTTAAATTACCCAATCATTTATAAGAATTAGTCCAGAAATGGTTCAAAGTTGTATGCATTGTAGTTTGAATTTTTCCGTTACCGTTACACATTGATCTTGCGATTTGATTCTTAAAATCACATGCTCTGATTTTTAATATGGTAAGGTGTAATGTGAATATTTACACATGGTTTGATCTTTAACGACTTGGTGCTTACTATTGAAAAACACGTTGATTACGATGGGAACAGATAATTTGCCAATGATAAATCAAAAATCTTCACATGTACTCTTCGATAGATTAGATTTAAAAAGTTCAGAAAATAAGAGAGACTTTGTAACCCATCTATTCCATTCCATTTCATATTATTTTCTAATATTTTCAGTAATACAAGAGTATCATCATCATTATTATCAGAGAAAATGCGTCTCATCATACGAAAAGATTATGAACAAGTCAGCGAATACATGGGTATAATAATTAAATCGATCACACCTATTATACTCAATTCATTGACAAATTAATATTTTAATTATGATTACAGCTTCATATATCAAGAGTCGTATTATAGAATTCAATCCAACTCCCGACCGACCATTCGTCCTTGGTCTTCCGACAGGCTCGTCGCCAATTGGCACATACAAGAAACTGGTGGAATATCATCGCAGAGGCGAATTATCATTTCAGAACGTGATCACTTTCAACATGGATGAGTATGTTGGATTACCGAGGTAATATATTATATTTCCACGTCACATGATTTTTGGACAACCAATAATTCTTTGAAAATCATAAATTGAAGGGACCATCCAGAAAGTTATCACTCGTTTATGTGGAATCATCTATTCAAGTACATCGACATAAAACCGCAAAATGTTCATATTCTGGATGGGAATGCGACTCATTTGGATGCTGAGTGTTTGCGATTCGAGGAGAAGATCAAGGCTGTGGGTGGGATTGAATTGTTCTTGGGAGGTAGAAAAAATTGATTCGCTGACTCCTTATTTGATTATCAAATCTTAACATCTACACATGCTCAAAATAAAAAAAAGGAATTGGCCCTGATGGCCACATAGCATTTAACGAACCTGGGTCATCCCTAAAATCGAGAACACGCGTAAAGACACTAGCGTACGACACGATCCTCGCAAACTCGCGTTTTTTTAATGGAGATATTAGTAAGGTTCCGCGAATGGCGTTGACTGTTGGTGTTGGGTTCGTGTCGAGTTTTTTTGGGACTTAACTCATTTTTTCTAATTTATTTTGTATTTGCGGATAATAACTTAACTTCGAAATACAAATTATTGCAAAAATAGAACAGTGATGGATGCACGCGAGGTCGCCGTTATCATAAGTGGTGCTCATAAAGCTCTCGCGTTGGCTAAATGTATCGAAGAAGGTATTTTTCTGAGATTCAGCTATTTTTTCTCATCCATGGATAATAGTAACTATATTAAGGACGATGATGATGATTACCAGGTGTAAACCACATGTTTACCGTCTCCGCGATTCAATTACACCCGAAAGCGTTGATAGCGTGCGACGAAGATGCCACGCTCGAACTCCACGTAAAAACGGTGAAATATTTTACAAGTATTGAGAGAGTACAGACCGAGTTGATTGGATTGGAGAACGTTGGATTGCAAGGTATTTGTTTCAGTCTTGATTTAATGTTTATTTGAATTGATTAATCACGCGTTAATACAATATGAAAAAGGCGGCGTCATAAGATACAATACTCCCGATCCTTCTCCTCTTCAAGAACAGTTCTACGAGGTTCCCTTCGAAAGACAATGATAAAAGCTTGTTGATTTTATTATCGTTGCCATTTGTAGAGAACTTTAGTATAAGAGAATAAATAAATGTAACAAAAAATAGCATCCAAATTATGCGAATTCATAGGACTTGAATACTTGTCTATTATGTCATTTTGTTTTTTATTAATTGATATCATTCATTAATTGCTGAAAAAATTCGTTTTGTAAACTGACGATCATTATTTGATTTTTAAACCTGAGAAAGCTTTCACGCGTACGCTCTCTAACCTTGATTTTTTCTCATTAATGTGTTAAATTTTATTAGGTGTTGTATGGGAAGGTTCGGAAAATAGGAGAAAATTAAAAGAATGATATTTGTTTTTTGTTTAAAAAATAAAAAACCGAAAAAGGAAAAACGATGAACGCTTTTGTAGATACAATAAATATATATATTAATTTATATATATTTTATGTATGTTTGTTTGTATGTATGTATGTATGTATGTATGTATATGGCATATGAAAAATTATATGTAAAAAACTATATATATAAAAATATATATATGTATGTATGTATATAATGATCGTGTAAAGGACGCAAATATAAAAAATTTCGACTCTACTAATATGCTAATAATAATGCCTTAGTTGGCTATGGCTCTAGGATGGTAAGCATATACATTGATTCCAAAATTATAATGAAAATATAATGAAATCATGATGATGACATCCAGTTTTGTTCACTCGATTACCGATCGAACGATTAACATAGCAATCAATATTGCCAAAAAAAAATTTACAAAAATCAAAAAAAATATCGACACCCACACAATGCATAACACCGCCACAAAACAATAATAATAATACGACCCAAACCCGCCATTTTTTTTAAAATTACATAGAAAAGAATAAAGAAAGAAAGAAAAGAAAGAAGTCCCACCATTTTAAGGAATTTTCTTAGAATCAAATTTTATCATACGAGAACCTAATGTCTGATGATAAATGATAATTATTATTAAGTCCTTTATTTTAGTTCAATCAATAATATTGATTTATCCCAACAAATCTTGTTCGCTTTGATTGTGTGACTTGTTTGGCAGCGATGATGACGCCTCGTGTGATTTTATTCCTAATCCCGTCCGTTTGTTTATCGAGTGGTTTTGTTGCTGTTGATGGTGTACCGGAGAATAGAGCGCATTGGACAGTGAAGCAGAAACCACTGTTTGTGAAGCCTGATTATTTATTGTTGCCTTCGACGAGGAGATAATATTCTGAGACATAAGTCGTTTTTGTTTCTCCATTTCATTCAAGCTTAGCTTTATCCCATTATTATTATTACAATTGCTACTAATATTAGATTGGAATTGATTAGGAATTTGTATCAGCGTCTGAGAACAATGTCTACTTGTAGACAGGTCAACCGGCGACTCACGACCCGACTGTGTTTTTGAATTAGCAACCACTGACGCATATGTTGCTGTGCCATTTACCAAGCTGCTGGATTTAGCCTGACCGTTAAGTTTTTGAGAATGCGCTGAATTTTGCAATTCAGCAAGCTGTCGTTCGGACATTTCAGCGATGAGGCCATCAGGATGTGATTTTAGGGTACTTGGAGTAAGGCTTCGTGGTGGGAGAGTATTAGTTGTAGTGATAGCGGTAGTAACAACAGCGGCAGTAATAACCGAGGCAGATGATGGAATTGTATCTTGTTGCTGATATGGCGACACAGTTTGGGATGTTGTTATTGACAATGATGAAATCTTTGATGTGACTGACGCTGATAAAGGATTATTCGAGACAGCACCAGCGGCTGTTAAAGTAGATGGCAGTGAAATAGATGATGATTGTGAATGTGAAGAGGAAATTGCTGCTGGCAATAATGGGGTGGACGACGTTTGGCTTTTCGTTGAATTAGAATGGGAGGAAGAAGGTAAAGTGAGTGTATTGGGTGATGAAGTTGATGAATGCATCGAATAAGTTGCTGTTGTTGTTTGTTGACGACCATTCAATCCAGCAGTGTTTTCTATGGATGTTGATGCTGTTGATTTCGGTATTACAGAAAGAGCAGGAGATGAAGACGAGGATGATGAAGATGACGATGTAGCCAATAGATTTGGTAAATGAGATATCGAATAATTCTTCGATACATATCCCAAATGGTCATTATCGCTTGCACTTATTTGAGGTCCTAATGAAGGTGTTGATGTCGAGGAAGATAAGCCATTTATATGTGTATTATTATTTTCGATGGATGGACGATTCATTTTCGGTGAACTTGCTGGTGATTTTGAAACATTACCGCTGTTTTTAGATTGATGTTTATATTTTTGTTTTCTTTCGTTCATTAACTGCATCCATTCATTAGCATGTTTCTTTTGTAGCTCAGCGGTTTCGCGTTCCTGTCTTATTCGAAGAGCTGATTGAGCTGCTACGTCCTCATCATCACTTGCGTCATCGCATGAGATTGTTTCATAGCTTGGGCCAAAAGATGATTGATAATGATGTTGAGGTTCTGGTAAACCATGTGGAGGATAATTCTCTGTGGGTGAAACAGTTGCAGAACTCGAAATGCTTGTTGCGCCCGGCAGAACGGCAGGAACTAACGGGAAGTATGAATTTGTAGAACTATTTGATGTCCCATGTCGGTATTTAGATGTGTACCCATGCTCAGTTTGTATTCCCAGACCTGCACCCAGATCAGAACTTAAAGTTATCTCTTCTTGTTTTTGCTGGCTACTTATCAATAATTTTTGTATATATTCTTGTCGTTGGAGCGAGTTTGATTGTTGCGAGTTTTGGGCACGAGAATCAACAATTAGTTCTGATACAACTTCGTTTGTTGCAGAATGTGCAGATGAATGTGAAGTTGTAGAAGATACCGAAGATCTTCTTACTCGTTCTACATTTGTTGTTGAGTTTATTAAATAACCATTCGTTAGACTAGATGAAATATCTGGTTGTATAGGAGTGGATGACGAGACAGGATTCGACATTCTTCGTTGCCAATCTTGCAACTTTGTTAGAGGTGCACTGGGAGAATGTGATCCAGAAAAACTGACGCTTCTACCGTAATTAGATCTTGGAGATTCAGGATTGTAAAAGGATATATTTGGTGAAGTGGGAGGAATGTTATTTTGTGACTCAATTATCGATGGTGTTTGTGAATGTGTTAAAATTTGATTAGGATTATGGATTGGCGGTTGATTGCTGTTGTTCCATAGTCCGTTAGCATCAGATGCCACTGAAGATGGACGGGAGAATGTATTCTTGGGAGGTGGCATCTTCAAGTCATTAACGTGAAGTTCTGATGGAAGTTGGTGAAGATTTTCCGTGCAAGTAGAAGATCCTTCATATGTTGTAGGCCCTTGATAGGGTGTAGTGGGACCAGATCGAGCGAGGGAAGGAGATAATGGAGTCGCACCGTTACAAATTGTCAACACTGAAAGTGAAGCAGAACGTGTCCTTGATGATTTTTGTGAAGATCGTGCGTTCGCAATAGTCGATGTAGTAAAACTTGAAGGAGGACTTCCAACAAGATCAAGTGTTGACTGTGTGTCTATGGGAAGTGATGGCACTTTAGCAGCAATCGGCTCGTCAGTCGAATCAACAATTGTGGCTGTGTTTTTCGTTAATTCTTTATGTAAAACTTGTCGAACTTCGTTATCCTCCCGTTCCCATGATGTTCTGGCAGATGAGGCACGAGTTAAACTCTCCAGAGATGAATACATATCCTTATCAAAACATGGCTGCATTCCATTCACATTTTCAGAAGACGATGAAATTTCAGAATGAAAACTTGAAGATAAATCTTCAATAGATCTAGAAGCCGGCAGTTTTACTTTGAATTCATCGTCAGTTTCATGAGAACTATCATAATCACTCCTGATGACAGATGGAGGCCTCGATCCTCTTGTACTGCCATTCAAATCTTCAAAATCATCCATCGATTGTGTCGGAATCGAAACTTCACCCGACAAAATCTTGTTCACAATATCCTCAATATTTTTCTTTGCCAAATCATGCCCTTCCTGACTCAGAATTTGCTCTCTAACCATTTCTGCCACGACATCTTCGGGTGTGTCATCATGTAAATTAAACGGAAACTTTATTTCTACATCTGTACGATCAGGCACGACAATTGTCATGGCGAGCAGGACTTCGTTCTCCGCAGGTTTAAATTTGTTTGACTGTCTTTCTTTTTCAGTTGGTTCATATATTACAACGTTACATTGCATTGGTGTCCGTCGAAACAATGTTTGGTTATCTGATGTGGTTGCTGTTGATCGAACATGCTCCTCGTTTTTATTATTGTTATTAATAGTAGCAGTGGAAGACGATGACGGTGGAAATGTTGCAGAACTGACCTGATATGTTTTATTCTCAGAGTCTATTGTCTTTGTCAAGGTGAATGGTAACGAGAGTAAATTCTTGTTTGTCGGTGGGTTTTGGTCATCATTATTATTATTACTACTACTACTAATGCTACTATTTCCATTAATAGATTTATTATTGTCTGTGATCCCATTTTTTATAGAACTTACAGTTTTTTCTTGTGACCGAGGTTCAACAGGCGTAGAGCCTGCTTGTTGCAATATTGGAGATTTAGGCGGAGACACAGTAACAGGTTGCGGAACTGTACCACTGCTGACACCGCCTCCATTCTGCCGTGGTTGCTGTTGATCAACACACGCCTCTTTCAAAAATTCATGTTTCAACAACTCTCCAGCTGACGGCCGTTCATCTGGATTATACCTTAAACATAATTCTATAAATTCTAGCGTCGCAGGATCCTGAACTTTTTGCAGTGCCTGCGGTTTTATCCCCGTGGTGACCTTTCGATAAATTTGTGCTTGGTTCGTACACTCGGTGTACGGATACTCTTTGGTGACTAGCTCGAGTATACACATACCGAAAGCGTAGATATCCACTTTTTCATTGTATTTCTCCTCGTATAGTTCGGGAGCCATGAATTCGGGCTATTATTATGTATGTATATGTGTGAATATGTGATGAATAAGATAGAGACGAGGGATGACGAAAGAAAAAACATTTGAATGCCAAAGTGAAACAACATATTTGTCAATTTTAAATCTTGAGATATAAAATGTATAAAAATGTAAACTATCATTTCAACGAAGAAGTATAGAGTCGGAAAGAAACAACTACTACAACTACTACTACTGATCGCAACAAGAAAAAAAGGCTTTTTGGGGAATACTACCGTTCCAAGTACCGATGACGCATGCTCCTTGCTTTTTATGATAGCCAAACCGAGATCGCCGATCTTTGCTTGACCGTTATTTCCATTGATGAAAATATTATCGCACTTCAAATCTCGATGAATGATCGGGGGTTCACGCGTATGCAAATAATCAAGTCCTTTGAGGATCTGTCTCGCCCAAGTTTTCAGTACTTTGGGCTTAAGCTGACCCTTGGTCTTGCGTAGATACTGTTTCAGGGTGCCCGAGGTCATCAGCTCTGTAACAAAGAAAACTCGTTCTTTGCCGTCAGGGCCTTTCTTCAACCAAGACGCATAAAAATTTATAATATTTTCGCAGCGAAGTGACTGTAAAATCTCAATTTCTCGTTGAATCTTTTCCGCGTCTTTTTTCTTTGAAAAGTGCAACTTTAATTGACACCATGCCACCTCGACACCTTCTTCTTGGTCGAACGCTTTATAGACCTCTTTATAGGCACCGACGCCCAACGACTCTTCGAACCGTTCAAATCGACCAGTCGGGTCGGTGTCTACAACCTTCGGGCGGTCGTCATCTTCCTCGTCGTTATCCTCGGTCTTTTCATCGTGTGGATATGTGGCCGAGGTGGCAGAGAAACCGGACATTTGGCTAATGCTGCTTTTAATTGTTTTGGATAAATTTTGGCGACGTGGGTTCGCAAGTTGCGATTTATTGAATTGTGTGGTTGTGGTGGTGGTCGTCGTTGTAAACCGGTATAGAATTTATTTATTATTGTTCGGTGCGCAAAAATGTTATACACACAGTAACAAGATCGATTACAACAAGTCCATAGGAAAATTTCGCTATTTTAAGTATATATATGTATTCAAAAAATGAGAAAATTTGAATTTTAAAGACAAAACGTAGGCTAGTAGTAAAGAATAATAATCTTTCTTACTATTGTGGATGGGGGTGTTTAAGACACCCTATAAAATAACAGACACACCGCACCTGATCACTGCTTTTTTGATAAGCAGATCGACGACGACGACGACAACTTTGAAGGGCACTCTACCATATATTAATTCATGATTGATAGCCTACTGATTACTTTATCAGAATCGGTGCCATACTTTCTCACGACTTAGACTAACGCTTAATTATATAATGCTAAAGATCATCAAAAGGGACTATTCAATCACCCCTGATCTTCAACTTGAATGAATGAATCTAGAGATGTCTGTGTGTAAAATATGCCAGGTTCAAAAAACTCGAGAACAAAGCCTCCCTTCCCAATGCTCTTATTGAAAACATGATAAGCCAAGTAAATAAATACATCGATGATAATGATGATTCCATCAAAGACAGTATTTATTTTATCCACGTGAAAATTAATTTTTTACGGAAGTGTAATTGAATTTTCCGAAAATTTTGATTGGATATTCATTTACAGTTTTTAGTTCACTTAAACTTCAAATTAGGCAGAAACAAATGTGGAGTTTCATGCAGTTTATTCGGAATTCACTTAGCGTTAGTGTGAATTTAGAAGTTTTTCAGCCTTTTTTCCCAGCACATAGATCCCGTTCCCACTTAAACATAAAATTCCTTAACATGGTTTCAGAATCATTTTATGTTTAATTGTAAAGGTGTGCAGGAAAATATTTTCAGAATTATTTTTATCTTTTGTAATCCATATTTATTAATTATATTTTATCTTTGTAATCTTATTTATAACAATATAATTAATATTTTTTTCGTTATACCATACAAATAGCCATTTAATTTTTATCAACATTTTTATATGATAACACAATAAAAAATAAATTTTATAAATAACATTTATTATGTTAAATACATTACAATTCGCCTTCTTTTAAAGTGAAACTCTCGTTATAAAGAATTTTAGAATCATTAAAAAAGAAATTGCAAGATCGTGGGGCATGTAATTGCTCTTCGATCTAAGAAGACAGTCCGGATATTCTGGATTTGCAAAAGGCAAGGCAACGTAAGATTTACAATAGGGTTGTACGCCGGTGTTTTGGAAGAAGAACGGAAAAGATATGAAGGCATTCAGAGAATTTTTCACTAATATAAGCTAAACCGTATTAATTACGCTGTCTCCTAAATTTGTAAATAAACTTGTTCTTTAAATATTGAAATATTTATATAAATTTTTTTTCATATATTAATACGCATAATAAATATATATTTTGTCAACTAATTATTAAATATTGAAACTTTTTATTTGAACAAAAGTCTTTAATAATAAAATTTTTATTCGTATATCAAAGTAAGATTCATAATCGATAAAATTTTATATATGTAATACAAAATTCCAACAATATAAATTACATCTTTATTTTGATATAAAAAGAAAATTTTCATATTTTATTTTGTTTTATTTATATCGACAAAGGCATTATACGTTCGAGCAATCATAGAATGTTCTTGGTCAAAAGGTTTTTTTATAGATGATTCTGTATTAATTATATGTATACTTTTGGATGCTAATTTTTTAGATATCTATAATAAAACTGTATAACTGGAAGGGAGCTTATTCAAATAATATAAATTTTCAAGTTGTTTAGTTAAAATTTTGGGTATATTCATCATATAAATCCATCGATGTTTAAGTATTTGACTAATTTCTTCTTGAAACTTGGATTATAATTATTACGATTTTCACTTGTTTGGATGCGCACTACCCATGAAAACAAAAGCAAGACCAAAACCCAATGCATATTCAAAACTGGTGCTTAATGAAAAGGATTATATATTGCGCATGCAGAAAGAATCGAACCCCGCAAGTCTATTAAAAAGTGCTCATCAAATGTTTGGTATCCGATACCGTGTAATATGCTTTAACATGCGATGAAACTAATATGGCTTCGAAATTATAATGAGCTGCATCCTGACGAACAAATTATATACTCAACCAATCAAAATGATTTACAAATATTAATCACCGATATCGTATCACGTGAGTGAAATTTAATTTAGTAAAAAATTATTTTGATGAGATTTACTGCAAATCCATTCCAAATATTTACAATTCATTTCCTATTGTAACCCAGTAATCACGGAGATTATTTTTGCGTCCAAATATTTCAAGATATTTTCCTTTTTTGGATGAAAAAAATCAGGTGAAATTATTATAGGAAAAAGAAACCACAACATTATTCTATTCATTCAATACAGAATATCAATACCATCTGGTACGAGTTCTTCAATCATCTCATATAATTCTTCGGGTTTTTGACTTTGGCCTCGTCTTTCGGAAAATATAACATCCGATGAAATAGAATATCGAGTTCCCGGTGGATCTATTCCCTTGTTTCATAAAGAATACGACGATGAAAAATTTCTCCAGAAATTATCAATCTAGATGAGCATACAAGAAAAAGTGTGTACCTTTTTTCCTACTAAACAAGTTTCTTTAGCATGCTGCAAATAGAATCCATGACCTTTAGCCATTCTTCTATTTACAGTCTGTTTAACCCATGTGATGTCGTCAACATATCTAAATATATAACACAGGCACAAAGAAAAAGTTTACGATTATAAAAGATCACAAGAGTACAATATCATCATAATCGTTAAAATCCATTATTGTGGTTCCCCAAAACTTACGTATACCCCCACTTCTTCATCATATCGAACACCTTCGCATATTTATTATTGATGACCCAAATGAAGAGGAATCCGTTCTTCTGTAGTTTTGCGATCGGCAATTCTTCGATACACACGTCAGGAAGTTGTTGATACGCAATGGCCACCTTTTTTTAGTGGTGAATGAACCTGCTTTTTTGAATGATAGGTACATTTTTCAAGGAAAAGAGAAGCAATAGCGACAAGAGACAATGATGCCAATTTTCGCGACATCCATATATATGTTGTGTTTAAGATGACAATTTGCGTCAGGTGGCGAACGCTTCACGTATTCGCCTTCGAACAATATTAATCTATCTCACGATATTAACCTTAATTCTTACTCTAATTTGGCTGAGCGATATCTGACACAAATCGACACATGAGGCACAATATATATATGTTGTACGTGGATACAGGGTTTATTTGTATATGGAATCAGCCCAAAAGAGGAGTGGGATGACTAGAGTTAGAAAGCTAGTGCTGGGAAGAAAATTAGCGTTGGTCGAAAGATTCTAAATCCCGTATCCACGTGCAACATGTGTATATATGTATGTGGTGAAATTTTTTTTTTACTTACACCGCGCGTGGGTGCGTGAGTCGCAAGTTGCCATGGTGGGTCCATGAGAATTACGTCGAATTGACATTCATTTGCGAGTTCCTTTTAAAAGAATGATAACGTTAAAATAAAGCAGCAGTTCGTAGTTTTGCCATTATGCTAGGGAAACTAGGGATCTCAAAATTTATCATAAAAAAATACGTAAACCTTCACTTACATCCCAATCAAAAGTCAACACATTAGCCTTTATGGGAATACACCAATCTGGCGCTTCGAATTCTTCCCATCGAATATCTACAGTTCGTTAATTCAATGATAATGTTCATCGTATGTTTCTTTTGATGCAGGATCAATTAAACATAAATACCGTTCTCCACTTCGGGTTGTGCTCCACCACCATCATATCCGTTGCTATTACTATCACAAGGAACGATAGGAGCACTAGCACCAGGTTCATGTGCCACGCTTGCACCCGTAACTGCTTCTAAATTTGCAATTTCGTCCATAAGTTCATCGATTCTAAGACGTAGCTCTGTTTCGCGCTTTAACAATTTTCGAAGTTGTGCTGCTGCATTGTTATTAGGAGAGGCTTTAACGGCACTAGTAGTTGTTGACTCGGACGCTTGTGGATGTGAAGTAGGAGTCAGGGACGCGATTATGCTTGGTAGGTGTGGTAAAGCTTCTATCACTACGCTAGGCTCGTGAGTTAAGTTCTCAATGTCAATTTCTTCGCTGCTGCTACTGCTGTTTTTTTCGCCCCTATCTCCTTCTGTGCTTTCGACGTCGAGTTCGAACGGGTCATTATGTTGTGACATTTTTTGCTAATGTACACGCGTTTTAAACGTATCTAAAGATCAGTTTATATAGATTCATGGATAATTACATGCATAATAAATTTGAAAGAGCGATTTTCTACTCGGATCATGTCAAAACAATGACCGTTCTGTTTTCGTTGTATCCATGCAATTTTCAAAGGAGCGATTTCCTTTCTCAAATCGATAATTTGTATGCTATTGTGGTGAATTGATGTTTTATTGCTTCACTTAGAAGATTATATCGACAATAAAATATATGTATTATGATTAGAGGAAATCAGAGAAAATCTACAAAAATAAACAAAATATATATATAATATATATATATATATATGTGTGTGTGTGAATGATTATAATAACTAGTAATAAGTAATGGAAGAAAAAGAAAAGTCTAATAATTAATTATGAAAAATCAGACTCAATTTAATATATAATTTATATTTTGTATATATTTAGTATTATGACAATAATAAAAGTAACAATAATAAAAGCAAGAATGAAATTGAGGTGGAACAGTAACATTATCAACAACATTCGTAAAAAAACAGTAATATATGAGGAAGACGAATAATGAAAAAAAGAGGATGAAAGATAATATAATAAAAAAAAAATAACAACTAAATCTAAGAAAATGTCCGATTAATATAATGAATCTATTTATATTCTGCTCTTAATTTTTTTATGATGATGATATTAAGTTTTGATGAATGTGTGCATGATTGTTGTCTTGCGTGAGGAGACAACGGAATTATCGTGCATACGGATGATAATTGTGTTGTCCTCGGACCTGAGCACTACTATGTAATGGTCCTCCGTTGTTGTTCGATTGCATTCCACTGGAATAAGAGGAACGCACTGGACCACTTGTCCGAGAACTTCCACGATTGTAAAGTGCAGGTCCTTGATAATGATGGTCACCTCGACTTCCATATCCACCTTCAGCATCTCGACTTGGTGAACCACGGTGATAACTTCCACCTCCCCCGACTATTCTACTTGCACTCGATGATGGACCGCCGCCTAATGGTGATGCTCCACCTGTTGATGATGCTCCGCCTGATCCATAACCAGTATCGCTTCCTCGGTACCATTGGTTATATGAGCCACCACCTCGACTGCCCGAACCACTACTTCCATATCCTCCTCCATATTGACCATATGAATTCGCATATCTAATAAGTGAAAAATAATAAGAAATCACTTATCAATTCATTAAATCATCTGATGCGATTTGTTTTTTACTTGCCTTGAATAGTATGCTGCTTGAGTCATAGCATTATACCCAGAATATCCAGCAGGATAGTTAGATGCATAATTATAGCCGGAATATTGTCCATAACCTGCGTAATTTGGATATGAACCAGCGGTATAGCCCATTCCTGAATATCCCATCCCACCGTCTTTACCAGCTGCGGCACCATAACTTTGTCCATATCGAGAGGTCGATCCTGCTGAAGGTGGCATAACAGAAAGTGCGGCAGCTGATGCTTGTGGCCCTGATGATCCACTAAAACTCGGTTGGTTATATAATTGCATTCGCTGCGACTTATGTTTCGGCATGGCACGTTTCACTTCCACCTTTTTGATGATGATATTTTAAGATTAATAATTGTAAGATGAGATTGCAAATCCTTACAGCTATAGAATATTACCGGCTTATTCTGGATTTCTAAGTCATCTCGCGCCATCGCTTTCTCGACAGGTTCCGATGAATCAAATGTAATAAATCCGAATCCACGAGGTCTTCCGGTTTCTCGATCAACCATCAACGTGGCATCGATAACATTACCAAATTGCATGAAGTATTCTTTAAATTCCTCTTCTGTGACTTCTGGAGCGATTCCACCGACGAATATTTTTTCGGTTTTTTCCTGTTCCTCACGTGGGATTGCACGTTTAGGATCAATCTAGGTTTTTTCATTTTATTATCGAGGAAAATGGATTAGTGTCCCATTCAATTTTTACATCACGTTCCAAGTGCGATCGATGTTCAAGTGAAAAAAAACCTTTCTCTCGTGTAACAAAATAAACACTCACAATTTTACCATCCAATTGATGTTCTTTCACTAATACGGTGTTGACAACGGATGGATCAACAAAAGTGAGAAATCCAAAACCTCTAGATCGTCCCGTGTTTGGATCTCGCATAACTATGACATCCGTAACTTCACCGAATTGTGAAAAGTGTGATTTTAGGCTCTCTGTAGTAGAAGGGGTGGTTGGTATATGTATTGTAAGTTTATAGTAGATAAGAGGATCAAATATTTTTTGTGATTATTGGAAATAGAAGATGATAAGATGGTGATGGATGGAGAAAAGAAGCAAAAAAAAAAGAAATTGGTGAATATCATGTTATTTGAAAAAATAAGAGAAAATTTTAAAGATTAAAAGTGGAGCAATCAGAGAATCGCCGCGTCTATTAAAAGGTCAAACATTTCACCACAGATACGCTTCAGTTCATAAAGACAATAATACTCGTGCGCGCAAAGATTTAATTCTCTTTCTATTTGGCAACTCTTGAAACAATTTTCATCGGTGCTTTTTATTATCTTTTGATCATCAACTCTCTTCTAAATATTATCTAATAATAATCTCTATACTCGACATTACTCCATGATAATATTTGATGTGCCAAAGAGAGAGGAGAGAACAAGAGAGTATGTGTGTGTGTATACGCGACACGGCATCAAATATAAACTAACTTCCTATCTTCTTTATCTAAAATAAACTATATAGATTAATCGTATAACCCTAACACTCTAAACTTTCTCTTACCATCAGTGGTTTCCCAATTAAGACCTCCTATGAACATCTTTCTAAAAAGTGTAGTAGTAGTAGTAGTAGTAGTAGTAGTAGTAGTAGTAGTAGTATAGATAGGAGGTAGTAGTAGTAATGATGATACATATAACAATGGAAATATACCAAAGTAATATACATATATTTATATATTGACATATATAATAATAAAAAGGGCAAAACGGGGGAAAAAAATTAAATTATCTATTAGTTGAATTATAACTTTTTTATCTAAAGAAATAACATGTGTGGGTTACTTTTCCTAATTGATCTCTCTTTTCTCTCTCTCCCTCTCTTGCTTGCTTATGTCTCTTTTTCTAATCTCGATAATCTCGTCTGATGTTCGTATTAAACTATTCTTGTGTATTATCTACTATTAACATAGTCTTGAAATTCTAAGTTTCGAGTTTTAATTATCCTCTACTATACACTTTTTTTCCCTTAATTATCGCGCCATGGAAACAATATTTCTGTTTTATCACATTATGTTTTCATTTGCCGCTCGCTCGTTGCGTGTACATGTACGTGTGCGTGGCGTGTGTGTGTATGAGTTATCATACATAAGAGAAAGATCGAGTGTGCGGTGGCAGCGCGACGGGGAGAGACCAAAGAGAGCTGGAAAACATTTAGTCTTTTCACCCTATTACTTACCCTTCTTCGTGTATAGTAGCTTTATAATCTTTTTTATTGTCGTATGTTTTGAGGTCGCCATCGTCAGAATGCCCTGAACGACGTTGTTCGTCTACACTATGTATTTTTGAATCAGACGATTGTCTTGATGATGCGCTATTTGCTGCCATCGTAATAATATTATTTTTATTTGACTAAAAAGGTCAAAAGAGGTGTCGCGTGTAGCGGAGAAAGGATTAGATCGTCTTTCAACAGGTAAATTTCGCTTCTACTTAATTCACTAAAAGGTAAATAAAAGACGGTATCATTTAGATTTCTGATGAGCCAACCTCAACTATTATCACTAGGTATACAAACAAACCTATCAACTAACAAAAGATAATTCAATGACAAGATGTCCTCTGTTGAAAGTTTGGTAGTTTTCTACACCAAGTAACGGGTAGTATTATTAGTAGTTGAACAAGAGAAAGTTAATGGATAAATTTGAGAAATACAAAGTTGTGTTTTTTGTTTTTTTGGCTAGGGGGATGATAATCATTGGCCTAACGTAATAACTCATTAAACCATTCACGTAAACTCGCATTAGATCTTCAGTGACCACAGTACATCAAACTTAAATTGGGATATTGAATAATGGCACCCACGATTCCGATATAAATAATTACGATAAATATATTTTTTAAACCTCATAACTTTTACAAAGGGGTAAAATTTTTGCACGTATTATAAAAATAACACTCTAAATGAAGGGATTACAAAAAAGAAGTACAATTTCAGGAATGAGAAACTTGTTCTTCAATACATACACACACATATATATAATATATAAATAAATAAATATATATATATATGTATATAAAATAAATAAGATAAAAGATTTGTGGGTCAAAGCAAAATTGATCCGTCGCTATCATCATACGTTGATCTCTTCTAATATTTTGTCTATTTTTGCAATCACCTTAATTAACCAAAAAAAAAGAAAAGAGGAAAGCTGTTTAGAAACAGAAATAAAAAAAAAGTTAAGTAATGAGCATTATTTATCTTACCTGATGAATATCAGGACGTTCGTTAGGATCGACAACTAACATAAAGGAAATGAGATCTTGAAATTGTTGGGAGTATCTAAAGAATAAGAAACGGATACAATTAATAAGAATAAAAAATCTCGAAAATGCAACCTAAAAATAAATAACGCTTACAATTCTCGTTCTGTTTCTGGAAACCGGAATTGACTATTAAGTACCGCTAGTTTTATCGAGCCACCCTGTTCAGTAATACTTGTCTCAAATGGTGATTTTCCATATGCCATAGCATAAAGCGTACATCCCAACGACTGTATATGATTAACAGAAAAAACCCACCACGTATTTATTTAGTGTGTTACGACTAAAAAAGTATTAAGATAATGTAAATTCCTTCCTCACCCATATATCAACTTTCTCGGTGAGCATAGCATTCGTCTGAACCTCAAATAATTCTGGAGCCCTATAAGGCATTGTGGAATGGGTTGCAGCCATATCTTGTTGTAACATGGCTTGCGGACGACTTTGAACCTTTATGCGCGCACGAACTAATGATCCAAAGTCCATTAATATCGCTGTTTCTCCATCGTCCGATATTAACACATTACTGTATCAATTATCTATTTTAGTATGTATTTTGACAAAAAAACATGGTAGCACATGCAAAAATTTCATTATCTACCCAGGTTTAATATCACGATGCGCAAAAGGGACAATAGTCCTGCCGTTTTCTTCTTGTTGCTCATTATTTTCATTTTCTGATGTTATTGTTGATGTTGTATTAGTAGAAAGAGGGTGATTGGAACGCATGGGAACTGATGGTAATTGATAAGTGTGAAGAGCACGCACAGCGTAGCAAATCTGACGGAATAGTTTTAACATATCTCTTTCTTCAAAGTGGGTGTTATCTATTAGATTTTTGCTGATGGCATCTTGCAAGTTACCGCGCTATTTTGTTCAAATAATTTAAATCTCAAAATTGACTAACATATAGAAAAATTGCAAAGAAAGATACCATAATTTTACCTTGTAATATGGAAGAAAAATATATATTACTTTTCCGTCTTTATCTTGAACGACGCATGTGTCCTATAATAGTAATAGATACCACATATTTAATATTCAAGATTCTGGCATAAAATTCAATCTGACTTTCAAAAGACGTTAATTCCAACTAAGATTCATTTGTCTAAGTTAAGCGCCTGCTCTCCGATGCCCATTGGTTTAAAAATCGCAACGACTTCGGTGCGTATTAATTTGCCCATCGAAAGCATTATGATCCATAATCTTTTTCTTATAGCTTTTCATGATATTATTCGAGTACAACAAAAAGTTCTGGTCGCCCATTTAAAGAGATAATAATAAATAAAACCTACAATAACTTTAATTATATTCTCATGCTGAAACAATTTGTACATCTCCACTTCTTTCATCGCATCTTTAACGGCTCCACTCTCAGCGGGACATCGAATTTTTTTTAGCGCAAAATGTCGACCTGTACTAACATCTTTTACTAGATATACGAACGAAAAACCTCTGAGGATTATATGTAATTTTTAAGAGATAGAAAATAAGACATTAATTAAGTAAAACATCGAAGTAGAAAAAGTAAGGAATTCTAAACAGAATGTTAGACAAAGATTCATTATGCAGAGCCAAAAAAGTAAAACTGGTACTGCATATTTACCCTTCTCCAAGTAACTGAATCACCTTGAAAGTACGTCGATTAATATAAAGAGTGGGATTTGGAAAACAGCAAGAGGTAACCCCATAAAGGGTATCACGAATCGTGGAAACAAGAGACATTATTTGAACTGGCGCTTCCCCTTCTGCTGTTTTATCAATATTGACCAAAGCTTGATAAATTCGAATGCACAAACAGGATCAGAATGTATGCATATTGTGAATCAATCTTGTTTTGGGATATAATTTATATGTACGAGCAATCGGGCACACAAGGAAGCAGCATATTAATCAGAGCAATATGGATATAATCAATTCCCCCTTTTTCTTTGCTTTTGTTCCAAAGAAAGCACGTTTTCTACTTCATCAACGCTCATCTTTAAAGAGGTAAATAAAGTGAACCAGAACAATTCTAATTCTATCAAGTTTCCTTTCGTGCACTTTGCTCATTACAATTACAATGATGGTACATTTTTAAGGAAACAAACCGTGTAAACAAAATTCAAAGACATGGTGGACCCAAACACTAAACCAAGTAATCCCGCTATCCAGGAAATCAAAGAAAATTCAGATAATGTCAAAAAGAATCTCAAGCCTGTAGAAACCAAGGAAAAGATTGTGCTTCCAACGGCCTCGGGTAAAATTTAATTTTTATCTTTAGTTCAATCGACTCGTTCTCTGAGTTTTATTTCTGAATTCTATTTTTTTCCCACGTGCAGACATTGAACAAGAAAAGAAAGAAACGGCTGATGAAACCAAGTGACATGAATGAACTAAATTGTTTAATAAACTTCATGTATAGTAGCGCTGCAAGTTTTTTGAATTATCATTTTAAAACTCCGAGAAATAATGTAACATAGTAATTTTTCTTTTACACATTGAAAGTTTTGTGTTAGAAATATTTATTTATGGAAATAAATATCGTTCAGAGCAAGAGTTCAGTATGATATATGTAACAACGTTTTAAATTGACTTTATTGCTGATAAATATTAAATTGAATGTCCATTCTCCACTAATCACTAAATCAAAGCTCTCATCAATCAAACTTCTAAGCCACGTTTTTGTATTTTAGCTTTATTGTCATTACTCGCGATTCCTAACTGCAATTCTTGATTAATCTCAGCCAATTGTTCTCGCATCTGCTCGACATCTTTTAATCTTTCTTCCAATGCGACTATCTCTTTTTCGAGAGACATGCGTTCCTCGGGAGTTCCGATGGTTGAGAATTCCCAGGTGCCATGTTCGCCGGTTACTCGTAGTAGGTGGTTATGGTATTTTGTAAGTGCAGGCCGATGAGAAATTGTGATGAGAGCTTTTTTAGATATTTAAAATGAAGTTTAATAATATATTTAATTTTTTTTTTACTTCAAGGAATTCGTTTACTTACTAATGCCAACGTCTTTAGCATGCTGATACATTAGTCCTTCAACATCACTGCTAACTGCACTTGTGCCTGTTAAATAAATAATATTAAACAACATTAACGACACATAAAACCAATATAATAAAACATTAATACAACGCACATTCATCGAGAATAGCAAATTTCGGATGATGATAAAATAGTCGACAAACGCCGATCTTTAAATCCAGAAATAAAATGTTAAAAAAAAAACAAAATAAAGAACTGATGCATACAACAGGAAAAGGACATTAGCAATAACAATAAGGCTTACTCTTTGCTTTTCACCACCAGAAAACACGTCTTTCCATTCTTTTTTGGTATCCCATCCTCCCTCACGACCTAAAATGTATCCTAGATGTACGTGATCCAGAATCTCCATCAATTCCTCATCGGTACGACCAGCACGGATCATATCCGCATGCGAATGAGGATAAATAAGCCTACGCAGTCAAATTTGAATGACAATGTTAACATAAAATTCCCGTAATATGGTATAAAATTTAGGTTGATGCGTTGCGACTTACTGATCTCGAAGTGATCCTATACTGAGATATGGACGTTGAGGAATATAGAAAATATCACCAACATTTGGCCGAGAAAGTTCACCACCTAGACATATAGAAAAGAATTTATTGATGAATAAATATTTTTACTAAAGTAAAATAAGAGAGGGACTAAACTTACGAAATACGGGCCATAAAGTACTAATAACACGGGCAATGCTTGTTTTGCCTACACCGTTCGGGCCAGTTATGAGCAAATGTTCTCCCGGATTTATTGTGACATTCAATCCTTTAATCAATTCCTCTCCTCCATGATCATTCCCAGGATTAGGCGCTACAATAGGAACATTTTCGAACTTAATCCCGTCGAATCCATAATTTATTAAACCACGGATCTCTTTCAAAGAATAAAATGGTTCTTCAGGACCAAGATTAGCAGGCCGAGGTACCGAGGCGTATTCGTTAGCATGAAGCGAATGCAAGACCGAAAGCAGACTGTATACTCGCGAGGTATAACCAGCTAGTTCAGCAAGTTCTTTGTATGAATACATCATTCTTCCACCAGCATCTGCTAGGGTTATCATAATCCTATATATTAAGCGAGCATAATTTAACTTAGTCGAAATATAGGATGTTTAATAATAAAAAGAATTCATTACCTTTTGTTAGTAATAAAAGCTTTGGTTCTATCTCTTTCTTTTCCATCGCTAGCACTACTACTTTCCAATTCTGATCTTCCACCACGACCACCCCATTCCGGATAAAACACCGGCAGAGCACACATCAAAAGTCCAACAGCACTCCAGAAATACTTTACAATAAAATCTTCAAACATATTATATGCTATTCGAATCTTTAGTATGGAATTTATATGTTTAATAAGACGCATGTAGGTGCGATCAAGAATGGAGTGTTCCAAATCAGCACCGTTATAAAACGCTATTTCCTCAGCATTGGTAATAAGACGCGTGTGGACTGAACGAAAATCACCTTCCAACTTTGCCTCGATTGCGGCTAATTTTCCAAATGCTGGTGTGACCGCACGTAGTAATCTCGCGGTGATCACGTAATTTGAAAAAATACCCAACATCCCGGCGAGACCTATACTCTTGGTCAGCGCATAGTTGAATATTATTGTGTCCAATATAGGTTTGCCTAGATTCGAGTAGATGGAGGCGAGACCATCACAAAATCGAGATATATCTGTTGTGATAAATCTTGAGACGAAATTAACTATAATATTTGAAAACAGATATACTTATTACGTGAATTAATAAAATTTACTTACTGGTCGGCACTATCAATTCTACCGTCAAGATTGATTACTTTGTAATATGCATTCTTATCGTCCAAGTAAAGGTCATGGACATATCTTGTAAGACGCGTTCTAAATGCGATGGATAATTTGGATTGAAGGAAACGAATCTTTAAATTCGTGTGAAATGATACATAGCAAATTTTAGATTATAAGGTACTACGATGAAAATCCTATTAAGGAACAATGAATGCGTGAGAAAAAAACGCACTCACCATACTATTGGTATAAACCGCTGGAATAGCGATAGCGAACCAGTAACCTAACCCTTTTGCGAACTCTTTGCCATTAGCCGCCACCTTAATTAAATTAATCAAATAAAAACCGTGACGGTGATGTTAGATCCAAAAAAAAACCAATTATTATCAAATATTTCCTTACCAAATCCCTAACAATTCGTCCATCCAATCTAGCCACAACAACGCTTAAATAGGTTCGTAGAACAAGAAAAGTCGAGTGTAATAATAGAATGAAAACTTCTTTTGATCGCAACTTGGGAATGATAATCTTCAAAAGGGCCAATAATTGTCTAAAGAATGTTTTGTTCACACCAACCCGCTGAGTATTAACATCTATGGCAGTAAACGCACGTTTATGTTTTACAAAAGTTTCAGGTTTCGTTTGACGAATGGTGACTTTAGCGGTTCGGTTCTTGTAGGGGACGGTTATTGTATATTTATTGCTCCCCGGCACAGGTCCATCAGGAATGGTTTGATTTCTTTTAGAAGAATTTGATGGAAAGTTTTTTTGTGATTCCAACTGTTTTCGATAAAAATGATTTGTTGTATATGCTGCTAAAAAAATAACTGCTGTTGTAGCAAGTATCCTCTTTTTATTGCTTGCGTGAGAGGATCGAGTGACTGGCTCAATAACAGCCTGGATGGCGGCAGGAATATCCGTAGAAGGTCTTGAAAATACTGCCATGAACAACTCCCTGTGAACAAAGAACAAGTGGAGTCGAAGTAACAAATTGATGGTTAATGATCGATCATCTACACATTTTTTTGTGATACGTCAAAAATCTAATCTAAACTTTAATAATCTTTATTGCAGGTATATTTATCATGTCACTTTTGACACAAAATTTCTTGCTAAATGACGAAGTTATTCTATAATAGTATTTGTCATTTTCGTGAAAAGACATCCATCATTTAGAAATTTCTTATTTCGAATCCTTTACTGCCTTTACATCCTTATTCTTTTTGATAAATTCAGAAAGTTTTTCTTTAACTTGTTCGCTTGTAACTTAACAAGGGGATCTCGTCCAGCGTTTTTTGTGGTTAAATTTTCAATCATATTCTTTGAATATTTTACAAAGTTTTCATAATAGCTGATATTTCATTAAGTATTTATAAAAAAATTTCATATTTTTTACTAGATATAAATATTTAAAGATAGATATTTGTTATATTATAATATAATAAACTAGAATAATATCTGAGATTTAATATAAAAGAATATATACAGTGGCCACCAAAAGTAATGACTCAGGGGCTAAATTTATTAATAAAACAGTGAAAATTGAAATTTTCTCTATATTAAAATTTATATTTAACATATATTTTTTTCAGATTTTTTCTGAAAGAGTTGTTCTAATTATAAAGTTAATGCAAAAATTTTTTATTAATTAAATTTCATTTTTAATTAGTAAAAATTTTTGCATTAGTTTTATAATTAGAATAACTCTTTCAAAAAAAATTTAAAAAATCTGAAAAAAATATATATTAAATTGCAATTAATAAACTTTATTTTAATATAAAAATAAAAAATTATTTCTTTATAAAATTATAAATTTTAACATAAAGAGAAAATTTTAATTTTCACTATATTTTATTAATAAATTTAGTTTCTAAGTTATTATTTTTGGTTATTATTATATATTATTCAAATATTTATATAATTAAATTACTAATAAATTATTATTTAAACTATTTAAGAATTTATTTAATCTTCAAGCTGAATATATATATATATATATATGCATTCATAAGTATGTGATATGAGATTCTTTTTAGACACACCTATATAATTATATTATATATTGATATCTAATATTAAATATTATATTATATTATAATATTTCTTTATATTATAATATTTTTTTTATTTTTATATTAATAATTTATTATAATTTTAAATTTTAATAAATTTATTATTATTATTATTAAAATTCAAAATCTATATAATAATTATAAATTAAATAAAATATTAATATAATAATTATTATATTTAAATTAGATAATTATAAAAAGATATAAGAAATATATTATTATTATATAACTTTTATTATAAATATATAAATAAAATAATTCTTATATTTTATATAATTAAATTTTTTTATTAATAATAAATAATTACAGTGATCATCAAAAGTAATGCAACACTTAAATTTTTTACTAATTATAATTAGTAAAATACGTGATTTTCCTTACATATAAAAGTTTTTAATTTTACTAACAA